CGTTAGACCATTGACCTCGCATCCCTACAAAACCGGGACGGAGCACGCCGGGTTCTCACCGGACCAGGCTCTCACATCACCAAGCGCGAAAGCGCCGTGAGGTATTCGGCGAGTCGCACCAAGGGGGATGGGGAGGGGGGATTTTACCTTGTGTGTTTTATGGGCGTTTGCTTGATGGTCTAGGATAGGGAGAGGCGGGTTTTGGCGGGACCGGAGAGATGCAGGTGTAACACCTCGCTGAGCGTATCGCAACCCCCGGAAGAACGTGGTGACGAGTCTGATCTAACAAGAGAGTGGTGACGTATGTGGGAGCGGAGTGGGGAAATCGCGCCACCCGCACATAGAGTATTGTAGCCGGCGGATGGGTAGGTTGTGTTGGCCTGTTGGTGGCCGGTTGCGTGCTACATAGAGAGAGTCCTTGCATGTATAAGTGTGTGCGAGTTTAGCAGGAACGAATGTTCAAGCGGTCGACTTCCTTCTTTCCCCTGGACGGCCGTCTGTACGAATACACTCGTTTTTGCGAATGTATGTTCGATGTGAAAAAAAAAAGTCCTCGTTGCGCTTCGTTACCGTACGGCGACGGTGAAAAGTGGTAATGGCTCTCTGATGCCGTCCTGTTGCTGTAGCTATGACTGAGCTATTTAGATGTCTGTTCTTTGTTGGGTGGGGGGGGGTGCGTGGAGTAGTAACAGGCGGGTCAGTCAAACGTCGAAGTGTGCATAGACGTGGTAGGTGTTGAGCTTTTCGGCTCTGTATGTTTCGTTGGACGGCAATGAAAACACCGTAGAACGTAAACGGTTTGTCCACGTGTGTCTCATCCGTCATCGTGAGGATGTCAGAGTTTTGTGACATCATGTTCGAGCCGAACCACATGCTTTGCTCTGGAAGCAATGCCATCGTCGAGTCCTGAACACCACAAGGCGTCAACACCCATGCAGTGTGTGGCCAATGCTGGGCTTGTTCTCGGCCATCACATGTTGTCTAGCCCAGCAGGTAGGTTTGTTGCTTTCGTGCCACCACACTCGCTGGGTAGTGGTCCACAACAATGTTTTTCGATTCATGGCGGGCGTTTGGTCGCCTTAGCGCACCGTACGCAAGATCACGCTTCGTAGTAAGCGTGGTATACGTCATGCGCATAGTATCTATTTGGTTCTCGTTCATTGTTGCGTCCGTGCGACCGTCAAAAGTACGCTGTTCCAATCACGAGCGCCGTTTCTTTGTTTCGCGGCGAGGCGGGTTAGCCTCCAAGGTGATGCCACACTTGATACACCTCACACCGCCACACCAGACAGACAGGTCGTGTCGCCCCCGTGTTACCATGCCTACAGGGAGTTGACGTTTACCACATCTTCCGCAAGTAGGTGTGCCCCCATAACGGTTGCCCTGCCGTTCGTGCTGTTCTGATAGGTCACCGCTTGCTGCTGCACGGAAAGACATGGTTGCCCACCGTTGCGTGCGCATGCATGCGTACACCCCTTTCCGCCACCCGGCACGCGCAAACCCTGACAACACGCTCCCTTGCCTCGCCAAAACGCATGCATCGTTGACCCCCCCTTGCGATAGTTAGATCCGTTTTCGTCGGAAACTTACGTAACTATTCTAATTGGCACTTGGATTTTTGACTCCAATGATGAGCTCCTTTTACAATAACGGCCGGTGACCTTTGGAATCATGGAGAAACAACATTTTCTCTTGCCTCCTCTGGTACCTCAGCAGTAGTGTCGCTCGCGGGTAGAACGGTGCTTATCTCGTTGTTGCGAATTTTTGAGACGTGCTCACTTTCTTTTCGCGTCGCAAGGGTCAAGGCTGGAAGAAGGGAACATCCCCATACCCCCCGCCCGCCCCCTCCCGGACGGCATGGTGTCATAAACATGATTAAGTTCTGGTCGTTCGCAACGTACGTGCCTCCCTGTGTGAGGCGTCGCCTACCCACTCACGGTTTATTGATACCGTTGCGAATCTTCATTGTTTCTTCCCCCGCCTGGACGCGCCAAGGTTGTTAGAGTCGCCGGCAGGTGAGGCTTCGCGGTCGACTTTCCTAACCCCGCAGCAGCGGAGGCAAAGGCGTTGGCGGCAGTTAGCGAGACCGTGGTGTCCGAGAGCGCGTCCAGCACCCCCAAGTTTACCCCTAACGAGACGCTGTTCAACAACGATACCGGTCTTGTGCCTCCCCCTCTGCCACCACCACCACCGCCGCCGCCGCCGCCGCCGCCGCCGCCGCCGCCGCCACTGCTGGAGACAAAGCGGCTTCCCCGGAGACTTGCCGAAGCCGGTGTTGCTCCCGTCGAAGTCGAAAACGCGCACGACGATGGCTCGCCCTGCCCGGCGACCCAGCCGTCGTGGACCAGAATACCTCTGTGCTTCGGAGCCCCGATTCCGCTACCCCGGTATACTGAGTCTGATTCTCCTCTACGCGACGTCCTTCGGGCTGTTGATGCACGGGGGGGCTGGTGGTGGTTACCACCCGGGATGCCTCGTCGATGCCCAGAGTGTTCGACGGCCCCGGCTGCGGCAGATCGCGGGCGAGCGGCAGTCACCGCTGCACGGCGCCGTTGGCTGAACGCGGTCGGCTCGCCAAACACCGAAGGTCTGATGTGTTGGAGCATGCTCATGCGCTCGTCGTCGGTAAGCGGGGCGGGAGGGGTTCGCCTCTTGCAGCTCCTCGCGCTGGCCGCGCTGGCCGCTGTCGACGTGCTGCCGGCATCGTCGCTTGTGCTAGCAGACCAGTTCGCGTCCTCAGCAGCGCCGCTACCGCCTCCGCCGACGACTCGTCTTCCACGAGGACAGGCCGAACGCTGCCGTGTTGCTGTCGGCGATGCCCCGGGATCTTCACCGGTGTGGCGTAAAAATTCGTCCGAGCCGTCGACGTGATGTCCCGCAAGGGTCACCGGGACGTGCTCCACAAGGTTTTCGTCGCCGGCTCCTCCGACGTTCCTCTCGCTGACCTCCAACCCCGAAGAGCTGGCGCTAGCCCGCCTATCTTTCCCGTTCGTCTTGACTGCTGCTACTCCCGACAGCCTCGACGCTGCGTGGTGGTTCTTGGCCACCGGCGACTCGTCAACGAGAGAGCTGTCAGGGGAGACCCCCTTTTCTTGGGTGTTTCCCCCGGTGCCGTGGCCGGCGGCGACGGATCCGGCAGCGGCAGGGTCAGTTCCCGCTCCCCCCTGGGTGAGATCCCACGCCATAACCTGTGTCAGCGTGCCACGGAGGTCCTCTAAAAGGACCACGTCGCGCGACAGTTGCTGGTCAACGGCGCCGCCCCGGCCATCGCCGCCGAACTCTCGAAAAACAGACTATTCAACAATTGTGCGTAAAAGGAAGAACACGGAGAGCATGACGAGAGTTAGCTTCGCCATGTGAGGGGGTGAGTGAGGCGAAGAGAATGAGAGAAACGCCAGTGGGGGGGGGGGGGAACATTGCTCCCAGTCTTCTCTCGACACAAGAACGTTACTCTTGGTCAGCATTCCACACACCAGGGACAACAATTCCCTCCCCGACAAAGAAGATCGGTGGAACCAATCGTCCATTACGCCACGCCGACGAAGACGGCGTTCCATTCACTCCTTCCACTGCTGCTGCTGCAGCTCACTCACCTTCTCGTATCCGCCCATCCTCGCGAGGACGCCCTGTACTCCTCCGGACCCTTCCCCCGCAGTTTTCGGCCGCGCCTTCGCCCGAGTCTGTCGCTCCTTCTCCCTGCAGCTCTCCTCCCTTTCGGCGTCCTTCCCTCGACCTCCGATGGTATTGAACCTAGGTTTACCGCCCGAAGACAACGGTCGCCCGCCTCGGGCACCCCGCGTCAGACTCCCTCCGGATGCTTTCGCCGTAGCGTCGCCACTGCCGCCGCCATCCCCGCCACCGTGTCCGTGACGATGATCACCCTCGAACTTCTCCAAAGACCCCGCCAGCAGAGCCTCGTAGGGGCGAGACGGCCGTTGAGCGCCGCGGTCGGCGGTCGCGGTGACGCTAGCGGGGGCGGAGGGGGCGGCGACAGCAGCAGCAGCAGCAGCACCAGCGGTCCCGGCGGAAGCGGGGCCGGTCGCGGCGATAGCGTGGTCGTCCCTCGGCTCATCCTCGCCGTTCGTCACCGACGGTGCCGAGTCTACGCCTCGGCCGCTCGAGGTCGCGCTCACCCCGCCGCCGTTCATCTTGGCCTTGCGTTGTTCCTTCGAGGTGTTCGATTTTTTGGGGAGGGGTGGGGGGGGGGGGGGACCGGAAGGAGAGGTTCATGGGCCGTGGCGGGTAGATTTGGGGTTACGAGGTGGGGGCGACTTGAGGATGATGGCGCCGCGCATGGCTGGCTGTGTGGTTTTCAGAGCCATGGAGTCTGTGGCGTCGGGGAAGGCTGGCACAGCAGTCAGTCGAGCAAAAGGAGAAGTTGAGCGGTTATATGGTCTTGGCTCTTCCTCGTTTCTCATGTAGCGGGCTATCAAAAGAGACTATGTAGGTTGGTACGCCCCCACTTTCGTTCCCGCTAGTGATGACCGTCATTGGGGTAAATGGCTGAAGAAACCTACCTACTTCGTCGTTCCTGTTTCTAGGAGCGGGTGTAAACTGCGAACTAAGGTGATCCACCGGCGATGTCTCCGGCAGAACCCAAGCCGTTATGTGGCGCACGAGAAAAACCACGGTCTGTAAGTAGGGCGACACCCTCGAGTGGCACAACACGACACCAACGCTTCGTCCGTGCAGCCTTCGTTTCCCTACCTCATCGTGCGAAAAGCCTCGAAGCAACCACACACGCATATCGGCCTGCAGCCTTGCATCTATTTGCATCCACAATTAAAACGCACAACAGCAGTGGTGGCAGCGGTGGTGATCATGGTCCTCTGTGTCTCCCTGTCTGTACCTGGATCTTTCTGAGGCGTTCGACCTTCTCCACCATCTCCGGGTCTATCTTCGCCATCTTCCTCGTCCACTTCCGCTGCCGCATCGCCCGGACGGCCCTCCGGATGACCGACGCCGAGTGCATCAGGGCGAGCATGTCCGTCACCTCCTGGTATCCGTAGCGCTTCAGCAGCGCGTCCCATACTTCCTGTTTCACCTGGAGAGGCACGACGCCGGCGACGGGAAAAACGGAGACGAGTTGTTAGTGCTGCCGACGTTGCCGAACACCAACGAGAAACAGTCGGTCTGTCTTGACTTCAGGCTGTACGACATTACCGCGTTTCCGTTTCTTTCCTAGTGACTGTTTTCTGGTTGTTGTTCGGGGGCAGGGTGAATGGCATAGAGCATTTGCAGGCCTCATCGATCGCGAGTGCGACGCGAATCGTTGTTTAATGACAGCTCTCGTCTCTCTCCCTCTCTCTCCCTCTCTCCCTCCCTCTCCCTCTCTCTCTCTCTCTCTCTATCTCTCTCTCTCTCTCTTCCTCTTTCTCTGTACGTCTCTCTCTGTCACGCGGGGGGGGGGATGTCTGCGTGTGAGCGTATCTCCCTCTTTCCCTCCCTCTCTCCCCCCGTCGATAAGCCGAGTCTACAATCGGGCTAACGGTGGTTAGCTTCATTTCACGAAGGCATGCCTCACAAAGCAAAAGAGTCATGTGGTGTCGGTGCAGGTGATAGGAGCTACATACTACAAACGCTTTACCGCTGCTCGCGGGGGGGGGAAGGCTGCGCTTTTTCTCCACACGAAGTACACACCTTGGCTTCGGTTGCCAGAGCACCGTTCTCCGCCCGGGTTACTTCGAAGGGCGTGGGGTTGCGGATGTCGCCCACGATCTTAGCCTTCGCCGTAACCTAGCAATGGCAAAAGACAGGCAGACAGGGGAGGGAGGGAAGGAGGCGGGACAAAGAGAGACAGAGAGACAGAGAGACAAGAGAGCGAGGCGGGGCAGGGTCGTCGATTCGCTTCTTCTGAGTGCCGTCGACTTCGACATCACACCACAACGCCACAAGCCGGTGCGACGGGGCCACACGAGTCAGGCAATATCTTCCTTGCCGAAATTCGTCTGCTTTGTAATCGGGTCTCCTGGTCATCGCCTTCGTCGTTGGCATCCGCTCTCACGCACGCTGCCACCGGACAACTCCCAATATCTAAGCTAACCTCCCCTCCCCCCTCCCCCCGAGCTCTCGAGGACGTGTGGACAATGGTCTAATCGCTCAGGCATGGAAAACATCAATACGCCCCCTCTCCCCCCGGAGGTATACATGCCAGTGTTTCGGGGCGCTGGCATAGCTACACCCGCCTCTCAAACCTTCTCGAATTGCTTATGTTGCTCGCGCTGGAGGCGAAGGGCCTCCCGCTTGCCCCACGGGCTCGAGGGGCCGTACACGATGCTGAGCTGCCGGTCGCCACCGCGCTTGGGCAGCCAGTTCCTCGACCGCTCCCTGCGGAAGGTCCGGAGGAGCTTCTGCCTCAGGCAGGCCAGCCGCCGCCTCTGCGTCTCGTCGAAGATTTCCTTCGAGTCACAGAGATGGGGTTTGGGGGAAGGGGCGGTAGAGGAAGGGGCGGTGGGGGAAGGGGGCGCGATGAAACTTTGCCGTTCTTCCGTGCACGATACGAGGTTGACGACCGCACAACGTGTGTTCTTTGTGTCTTGCGCCAAGTAGGGGGGGGGGGGGGTAGGGTTCACCCTGCTGTGCGGTGCTGTGCGGTGTTGTGCACGCCTCGATACTATCTGCAGCAGCAGCAGCAGCTGTTGTTCACCCGTGCGTGAATTGAAAGAGACGTGCAACGTGTAATGTTGCACATTGCTCCCTGTCAAGAAAGTCGCTGGGGATTCGGGCAAGTTGATGAAGGGCTGCACGGAAAATGACACGTGAAAATCATAACTTCGCGTAAGGTCGTTGGGACTTTAAACCACGCGGTGAGGACAGTGCCCCAAGGCAGCGACCCCGCCCATCGAGTTTTGACCCCCCTAACAACCAAGAGTGTCCACCAGTTCCAAACTTTGCACGGTTGTGACCAACATACACGGCACGGTACGGCTATTTCCCCTCCCCGTGGTTGCACGTGCTCCAAACCCACCCCCGGTAAATGCAACAGCTTGGCCTAGAACTGTACCTGTGCCCTTCGGACGATCGATTGCCCGTTGGATCTCATCTGAAGGATGACACTCGTCGCTGTGATCAGCCTCGCGCTTTTGCTTCTGCGAATAATTCGAATGGTCAGGCAGGGGATACATAGATAGGTGCGATGAGGGGGGGTGATTCTGGGAAGAAGATAGAGAAGCCCACGGCTGTCGATGAATAAGAAAATCAGAATCCGCTAGGGGGGGGGGGGGGGGGGTCCATCCGCGTGTTTACTCGTATCGGTCAACGGTAAAAACAAACCACTCGGTGCTGTCGTTGGGGAAAATATCAAGAGTTCTCGTGAAGGCAAGCATACCGGGTCCGGGTGTACCTGTGACCGGAGGGGGCGTCTCTCAATATTTCGGGTCCATGCGGAATACAATAGATTCTAGCAGAAAAAGTGGCCGTGGAGATCAGGACGGTTTCCTCACGAAAACAACATCACCACCAACACGGGGGCGACCAAAAGCGGCGGCGGCGACAGCAACATCCGCCAAAACACACCGGCACACGGACGAATGTCTCTGGAAGGAGCCGCACGCATGCAAGACGCGAAGGGATGAGCGGACACAAAGGCACGCACTCTTACACAGGCGGGGTTATGCCTCTGTTCTACATACATACGCGCCTTCAAGTACGGCTCCAACCAACAACGAGCAAGACCAGGTGACGAGGGCGATACTTGTCTCAATCGTCCCTCCTTCATCGTGACGGTTCACCCCCCCGCCCCAACCCCCTCCCCTCAACCCAATTATCGTTGCTTCCTGAAGCCTAATCGTATGGATGCCGCTCTTCGATTGTGCCGGTTTTCCTTCTCTCACCGTCGCAGCTGCCGCGTCGCCGCCCCCTCGAGCAGCGTCGCCGAGCTGCTTCTCCCACCCGCGCCGCCGCCACCGCCGGTGCGCTTTCCGGACCCGGAGTCTTCCACGCCGCTGATAACCCAGCCGCACTCCGGCCGAACGGCGAACACGCTCTTGGCGACAACCACGTCCTAGCGTCGTGATCATCGTCAGAGTCAGGGTCTCAGGTTTTGCGGCAAGGAAACGGTTGGGGTCGGTCGAGATATGTTGGGTTCTGCACCGAACACATTAATAAGACAAGGTCTTGTCCGTCCTTATGGCCGAGAAGGATGTCCTAGAAAGCGAGAGAGACGCTGGGAAATAACCAGCCTGGATGTTGCCATTGGAAGCCACGGGTGCGTTCTTCTTCCCCCTCCCACCTGTCTGGAACCTCTTTGTTCCCCGGCCCCGTCGCCTCGCGCTCCCGTCCGTCCCCCTCCTCCCCGTCCACTAACGCCGCCGTCGCTTCTTTCCCTCCCCGCCGTTGACGACCGCGACTGGTGCTGTTGCCGGGAGCAGTGGTCGTCCACGGAGCCGCACTGCTTGAGGCACGCGTCTGCGGGCCTGTCGGACGCCAGGGACAGCCAGGTCTGCATCAGCACCACCCGGTCGAGGTGACACACTTCCGACCCTTGGGTAGCCTCGGGGTCGTCCTGAGAAAAAAAACGAGCGTAAAATGTACAAGGACGGGGTGAAACACGCACAGCAGCGGAGGGGGTGCGCTCTTGGCAGGTGAGACGACGAGTGACGAGACGACTGTCTTTGCTGGTCAAAAAAGCTGCGGTAAAAAGTATTTTTCAGAAGAACGGTTGCGTTAAAAGTATTTTTCGATTTGTTCTAGGTCGGGTCAGAAACGCGGACTTGGTCCACGATGGATTTTTTTAACTGCCTCAGGTGCTCCCCGCCCTTCACTGGGCCGTAAAGTGAGAGATATTTCTGTGGGTCAAGCTACATACACACATTGCACACGTTACATACACACATCGTACGTTTTAGTTTCTGTGGCGACCTGGACAGGGAAAAGAGGCATTTGTTACCAACGTTCAGAGAGAACCAGCGGGGGCGTGCTAATACCAAAAAAAAAATACATCGCTGATTGTATTTGGTTCTATTTTCTCGGCGAAGAGACACCGCGAAAGTAAGGCAGGCAACAACAGCAACCACAGCCACAACAACCACAAGCTCCCCCTCTCCGCCAATAATCGACCATTATTGTCCCCAGCCCCTTGCTGTCGCACCTTGTGGAAAATCACCCATCGCCCCGTGTGCTTGGCCTTGTCCATGTTCTTCCCCCGGAAGGGCACCGCCACGGGGTTACCAACGGCAGCACCCACGCCCCCACCCGCGGAGCCCCCGCTGCCGCCCGACGAAGATTTCGAAGGGCCCGCTCTCGACCCTGCGGATGTCCGATTCCGCGTCGCCTAAGTTTTTAGGTCCCCGCCCGATGACCGCCAGAAAGTAACAGATCCCCGCCGACGCACCATCAGAAAGTAGCAAGAACAAACAAATTGTTGTGAGTTCGGGTAGTAGTCGTTTGTAAAGGTGTTGGCGGGCTTCATCCCTATCAAACAAACAATTGTGACAGGTGTGCTGGATAAAAATCGAAGTAGGGACTGGCGTGAAGATTAAGTTTGTTGGGGGCTTTGAAAGGGGTCGACGCCGAGGAGAAATGGGGGGGGGGGGGGGGGTCAGAAATTGTTGCCCAAGACCAGCCTGGCCGATGGTGATGAGTTCAGGACCAAGAGCGAGCTAGGGTAGAGGTGCTCCACATGGTGGTAGTTGGTTCCAAACGAGGGGAGATGCGTGTTTCGAGTTTTGCAGGTCTACACACCGCAAGTGAAACACGAACCGCTTGTTTAGAAGTCGAACAGTTCCACGCGGGGGAGCTAACCTCTGCATTCATCTATAAACGGGACGTCATACACAGCCGTAGACGCTGCTATGGATTAGCGTTTGTTCGGTCTTGCGCGGCAAGTGGTGCTGGCCCCGAGACTCAGTCTCTCGTGTTCTCTGCCCCGCCCCCCCCCTCCTTACTATACCCCTATTGCTGCCACATCATGACACGCGTTTCTTCCCCAGTCTTGTTGTTATGCAGAAAACCAAGCCTATTTACAAAGGCGAAAACATCCCCGGCCTCCCGAGGCAGGCCTAATGTTAATTTAGTGTTCTCACGTCTTCCGTTTGTTGCTCTCCGGTCACACCCCCGGCCGACGCTTGTGATCCAACCCCTCCCGACCGTTTCGAGCTGTGCGTGCTCCCCGGCGTCTCTGGCTCCTTGTGCATGATGAGGGAGGACCCCATCACCTTACGTTGTGGGAGGCCCGCGAGTGACAAAAGGGGGGGGGGCGGGGGTCAAGACATGTTTCCGTCTACCAGTCTGGCTCGAAAGATATGTCGCCAACAGCTCGCACAGCAAGAGTTTTGGCTGTTCCAATCAAGCGTGCAGGAAATATCTGGAGTTCCGTGCAGCATGTCTCCGGTGCGTGAATCGCACAAGGTAGCATCACAGCCCCTCCGTCTGCCCCCACCACCCGCGGAGAACCCGTTTGTTCGCTCAGGGATCTACCTGGCTGACGAACAGATACAGTAGGTTTGCTTTTCCATTTCGAGGCTAGAGGCAAAGCGAGAGCGTAGAAAGCAGCAGCAGGCGCGAGAAAACAGGCAGTGAAAACGTGAACACCCCTTCACCCTTACCTCGTGTCGACCCATTTGGAGTAACAGCACGTCGCCGTACCTCACGGGGCCCTTGCTCTGAAGGTCCTGCAAGTTCCACACGGTCAGCAGCGCGTTCGGCTGCGCCCCCAAGGCCGAAGCTTGGGCCTTTCCCTACCGAAAACGTACAGCATTAGAGATTGGCACGGTTAACTGGCGACTCCAGAAACAGCTGTGAGCAGAACGAAGCGTTTGCTGTAGAGTTAGAACATGTCTGCGAGGAGAAGCGACAAGGAATCCGGCCGGGTTGGAAAAGTAACCGACGAGCCAGCCAACGGTTTCGGCGTGGAGCCCCTGGCGGTAAATGAGACATGGTCGTGAAATAGCGAGTGCAACGCGGGTCACATCCATGCCCGACTAACTAGCGTGAGCCGTTTTGCCCCTCGATGTCTTACAGCCCACAGAGTGGATGTTACAGGGGCAATATTGAGACAGGAACCCGGAAGCACAAGGTGAAAGAAAGCGCGTTCATTGGACAACATTTCGGCAAACCGAGCAAATCATCACGGAACAACTACGAGCGCTGCGTTTTTTTCACTTGGGACCAAAAATGAAGCGGAAGCGATGCCCAAACTCCACGGCCTACTTCTCGATCTGCATGGCATATTCCTAGGGACGGCAGAATGCACCAAAGTCTGTCGCCATCGTTCTTGGAAGCACCGTACAGTACAGTGCGACCTTGTCGGGGAGTACCTTGTTGTTGAAGCAAAGAATACCTCCGTGGAACGCCTGGAGAGTTATCGTTGAGCCGTACGTGATGGTCGACCCCTGTGACCGGTGGGTGCGTTAAGGGACAGTTTCAAGGCAGTTATGCGGTTAGGTCCCGGGCTGGACGTGGTGCACGTTTCTTTATGTCCTTCGGTGGGGGCATTCTTCTCGCGTACGAGTCGACAATCGGCACGAATCGTTCAAGTTATCCCGGCACAAGAGCTGTCGACACAACATGCGCGCCTGCGGATACTGTACCGCGCAGGCCAGCGACAAGATAGACCTCGCCACGCTGAAGATACAATGCACCCTCCGCCTTCGCCTGTCTCAAGCGACGTAGTTCCTGCCCCTCACGACCTAAGTAGTAGCAGCGGCAACAGAAGCCTCGACATTTACTCTTTCATCCCCTGCCTGCCCCCCCGCCCGCCCCACCTCCTAACATCTCACCATGTAAGACTTGCGCCAGAATCGGCCCTGAAAACCGCACCGTCAGACCCATGCCCACGGTCCAGGTAACCAAAGTACCAACTGAGCACACCTTCTACGCTCGAAACGTCCGCAAACATCTACATACGTAGATACGTTTTATCATCATGCATGTGTGTGTGTTCATTGCATCATCTCGCCTTGTTGAAGCCACCTCGGCGGGTCTCAGTGACGAACTGGATGGCGGGGGGGGCGTGGAGGCGACGCTCCAGCTCCAGCGCCGCCTGTCCTTCCTCCTCCGCGCTGTCCTGCCCCTCGTGGGCCTCGTCCGATATCTGCTTGGCGGCCGCGGCGCTGTACCAGCACTGCCTCGGCCTGTCAGCGTGTGCCGCACACGGAGGTTTTCGATAGGTTTTTACTGTTTGTTTGTGCTTCGTTACATTTTGCGTTTTGTAGAAAATATGCGCATACAATCACAGAGAGACTACCGTTCGAGGTATAACCACAGATTGCTCTTTTGCGCAAATTCCGCTTTTTTGCGCAAAGCAGACGCGTTTGAATGCCGCCGGGGGGGGGGAGAACATGCACTTGACCAACAAAGAAAACTGTATGAGAATTTAGTCCTTCTCTTCCCGTTGCGAGAATCGATCGTCTTTGCCATCGACCTAATAGTTGGGGTTTTACCCCGTTCGCTGTATGTAATAGCGTCAACTTGGTGGTTGCGTGGGTACAGTAGTGAAGACACGAGCCTCCCCGTAGACCCATGGATTTTCAAAAACAAAGAGGGATAGATTGCAAGGCGGCTTGACTGCGATGGAAAAGTCTTTCACATACGTTCCAAAGCGGCGTGCGTCGCCACCACGCGACCTAGCACAAGAATGACGTCTTACCCGTACGCAGACCCCGTCCCGCTCACACCGGCAGTTTTTCCGCCCCCGCCGAAGACACCGCCATCGCCGTCTCGCCCTGCCGCAGACGGCGAGGCCAGGTTAGCCAAGAAGGCGACGGTCTTTCCCACAGTCCTGAGCGAAACCGCGCCTTCTATCGGGGCCACTGCTACGGCCGTGCCTACGCCTGCTGACACCGGTGATGGTGGTGGTGCTGCCGTCGCTGCTGTTGCGGTTGCTTGTGACAACGCTGGCGATGGGCTTATGGTGTTCACCTGTTTGCCTCCGCTGCTCGACTTTGGCGTGCAGGGGTAGGGCCCCGAGCCATTGGTGCCTCTGGTACCACCACCACCACCGACGCCACCGACGCCATTGCCTGCCGCCGCACTAGCGTCGCCGACAGTTATAGCTCTGACGATCTTGACATGCCGTTTTGTGCACGGCAGGTTCAGCTGAAGATACACGCGATGCAAAGGAGGTGGCGAACGAGCGGGCGATGGTGAGAGATCGCGATGACCTCTGTTAACAGAGAGGTGTGACGAGACCATGTCACTTACTTTCGTAATTCATAGGACTACGAGTGCAGCCGGCAGGTTCGCGTTTGTTTGTAGGAACAAGGCATAGCCTGGGGCCTACGTATGCTCGGGGAAACAGACCGCGCAGTGGAAAATCGCTCTCTGCCCTTATGCCTTGCAACTACACCGTAGGATCCCCGGCGAACACACTGATTTATCGATTTCCACACTTCTGCAACGCAGATCTCCGCTTCACCCGTCAACCTGGTTGCAACTTCGTATTCATCGCTCGGAATGAACTGATCTGCATCCTATCTAAGTTTATCACGCTGCACAGCACATAGCACGCACCCTTTGCCCAGAGCTGGCTCTGACTCCCCTGCCGCTCCGCCCCCTAGCCTCGTCCGCGCGCGTCTCGACGTTGTCCAGCGCCGATCCAAGCCTCGCCACCCTGCTGCCGCACCCCGCTCTTCCTTTCCCGGTCACCACCCGCCCTGCCACCTTTGCCGTGCCCGCTGACCCTTTCATCTCACGAGAAACGGGTTGGCCGGTGGCGGTGTCGCCAACCCCACCATGGGCAGGTGCGACCGACAGTTTCATCGCAGCAGCAGCAGCAGCAGCATCGGGGAGAACCTGAGCGGGCGACGGTTGTCTGTTTTCCGCGGGTTGTGTGGAGGGTCAGAAACACCGAGGGGAGGGGGGGGCAGTGCAGAAGGAAGGAGGGGGCTGTGATGGCCATCGTTTTTTCTAGAAAATGCACATATAATCAAAGACAGACCACCCGTTCGGGATACAACCACACAAATTTTGTACACGCTTGGTGTTGGAACACAGTGGGACACTTCTCGTGGTGCACGATGAGGCTGGGGAGGGGAGTTACGCATACGTCGCAGCATCCACCCGCATGGTTGCTGCGTGTTTACCGAGGCATGATCCTGGCAACGACTGCAAATCGTCTAGACTCTCCTCCTCTCCCCCCTCTGTCACCTCTGGGGCGGTGCGGAGGAGAGTCGAACCCTTCCCCCCCTGCCTCCCACCCTGATGCCGTTCCCGTCCGTGTTTTCGCTGATGTCGTCAAAGGGACCATGGCGTTGGGTGGAGAAAGCTGAACCGGGCCGCAAATCATTTGATATGGTATGACCCTCCTGCTGTGACGAGCGCATGGACGTGCAAAGGCGAAATATGACGCGTCACTCAAGTAACTTATTCGCGCGTAGGTGAACCTTCGGGAAAAGGAGCTTTATGCCTACGGGTGAACGGGGCGTAGTTTCTGCGAGATATTCAAGTGTATAGCAGTCACTTGCGTGAAAATCTCCGACGTTGCAGTAGTCTGAACATCAAGGGCGTCTCGCTGGCACACTAAAGGGTGGAACAGCAGGAACATAGGTTAAAAACAATCCTCCGGAGCAAAGAGATACGAGAGAGGGGAGAAGGATACGGCAGAGCCACACACCCACCTCTGGGTGACGCACTGTGACCAAAGCCGCTGGTCCTCGCCCCCGACGAGTTGGATCTCCGCGCCACGGCTCTTCCATAGCCTCACGCGTAACCGTGTGCAGGCTGCACAGCCGTCGGCGCATGCAAGTTGTTGTTTGGGCTAACACATGTAGGTGCCAAACGTATTGTCTTACACTCCAGAAGCTCAAAGGGAACTACAAGTAGGCGTCCGGAAAAACCTCAAGGATTAGTGACACACGAAGCTCATCGCCTGGTGTGTGTTTGGTGAGCACGCCAAGCAACGCCATGAGCGTCAGTCATCATTCGACCACGCGCGTTTACAACAGCTCATTGTATCACCAACACGGGAGACAGCAGTGCAAGCCAATAGAACATCCGCGACAAGCCCGTCCTAAATATATACGTTGCCCAAGAGGCTACCCCCCCCACGAGCGAGCAAATGGATGGAGCAGTATAGTTCAACGAGACACCATTCGCTCACCTGTGTCCCCAACGCATACGCTTTAGCAGGCGTGATTGTTTTTTCACATGATCAAGTACCTGGAAGACAGCATGAGTGTTAGGGACCACGTTGGAGTAAATTTTTCTTGGCCGCTTGGCCGTATCTGCTGTAGATGCGGAGCAACTACTATGTACTGCATCCTCGGCATGCTTGCGCGTGTATCTTATGCAATTGTTTTGCTTCGCCAGGCGAGGTATATGGAGGGTCTTTGCACTCAACACGCGTTATCACGTGCATTGGTACGTTGGTAGGCTATGGGTTGCCAAAACGTCCGGACCTGCCGACCCTTCGGGAGATTGGGTTAGCGAACACGTTCTCCGTCTCTTTGGAAAAATATGAACATACGTTGCGCCGAGAATTCATATCTATGGGTCTGGTGTGTATGGTCTCGTTTGAACCTCTCGCTCTACAGAGGAGGTGGAACCAAGTGCACGCACCTCGGACGTTTTCCCTCCTCGTATGGTACGTAAAACCCGCCTTGCGTCTCCCGTCATAGGTACCAGGTTATCGCGCTGGCTGTGTGCCCCTGCCGCCGTTGCCCGTTCATGCTCGCTCGGAAAGTGCTGGTCGAGTCGAAAGCTGTCTGCGCTCGGGTCGAGGCCTGCCCCCATGGTACACCCACGAAGCACGACAACAAGATGGTGGCGATACAGCACAAAGACCCGTGCTGGTGTTGCGTTGTCTGCGCCTAAAGTTGCTGGGCCTTGGTTCTGCACGTGGGGCAGAGACCACCTGTCGGCAAGTAGCAAACGGTTTCGGGTTTCGGACTTTTTTTGGTTGATCATCTACGGTATCTCCGAATCTGACAGTCCCATATTTCCAGTACACCCGCTAGCTGCTGGTTGGCGCCTGTTGTCTGCTGCATACATTCATACCCGTTCTTGAAACATGATGAAACTGCTGCGCCGAGCCAACACGGTTCAAACTTTACCGGAAGGATAGGAGAGTGTACTGTACCGTGTGATCGTGTTGAAGTACAGTCTACACAACGAGTAGTCATTTATTATCGCCGCAGCTCTGAGCTACAAATATCTCTCTGACACAGCTCTTCAGTCTCTTTGCTCAAGTCAGTATGTCCGCCGACAACACATCAGCAGCAACAGATCTATGCTAGTATCATCACCGAGACGTAGCAAGTGACACTGGCGAAAAAGTATCTGTTATGTCAAACGAGTCGGCAGTTCACAAGGGCCACTCTGGAGACGGTCTGGAGTATTAGCACACAACCGAACACACCCGAACGAAGCCCGAAGCGGGCCATGTCTCAGATCCCCGTGACATAGAAAAACGCAGCTGAAGACATTTGTTCAAAAAATTTCATCGCGAGGTGTCAACTCACCTCGCTCGCCGACCTGGGCAACACTGCTCTATTTTTTCAGTAGTCGTATACTACGGGTTCTACAGCTTGATTGCCCTGCTCATCACTACCATATGCTTTTTCCGTCAGCACTCATGGCACAGGAGAATCTAATGCCTGCGTGATGGTCGACCGCTAAGTAGGGGTGGCTGTAGGTGAGAAAGTCACCAAACGCCACATGTATCACGCACGAGCAACACGATTCGATACGCGAAAACATCTGGTGCGTAGAGAACACCGGACACACGACGAGGCTGAGGGAGGCTGAAAATGGGTGTCCAAATCGGACACACGGACAAACAGCAAGTGTTTCAATCAAAACCACTGCCAAATTCTGGTATTATAATAGTGGAGCAGTCTGCAAACATGTGTCGTTCGACACGGCCTTCGCCAAATGGCACCAGCAAGTCGAGCTCGCAACCCTGCAACCACCAGCGGCGGCTGGACGGGAAAACCACGCCTGCCTCGTCAAGAAATGTCCGAGAGGGTGTGGCTTCAAGAAGCAAAACAGGGGGCCCCGCGGTGTAGGATCCCAATCAAGAGTTTGTGCCGCAAGCCCAGTGTTACGACGAAACAGCTACTGTAGCACTCAATAATCGATTTGCAAAACTTGGGGATCTCAAGGGTTGATTCGGGGAGGTTGTGTGCTCTGTGCACGCAAACAGAAACATCAACTAGGATAGCCAAACAGCAGTCCTGTTCGTACCCCACAATGACGTTGTGTGCTCCGCACACACTGAAACATCAACCAGACTCAACGGAGCAACACCCAACAGTAGTCCTTTTCGTGCCTCACAATGGCAGCAGAAGGCTGCCCCCCGCCTTCGCACGCCCACAAGCGCGAGCGTCACCCCCGCGTGTCAACACACACGCACAAGACAAACAAACACAACAGAGAAGCTGACGACATGACAAAATCGGAAAAAATCTCCTTTTTACAAGGGGTTTTCCAGACTAGAGGCGGTTCATGGTGGTCATGTCCACGCTTTGTACTTCGTCTTCGAAACCCTCGATGACGTCAGTGATGTCTTCAACGCCAACCTAAACGAAGGGGGCACAGAAAATAACCGGCCGGGGGCGGGGGACGAGAGACGTAAGTACTTGAGTAAACGGCGGAAGAAAAGTGTACGGTACTACACTGTCTTCTACGATTGCCATGCGGTAGCGGCAACAGCAGATCGGGATAACCACAACGGAAGGATGAACGACGAACAAAACGAGGGCAAATCTGGCCGTAGCACGACTCGCCATCAATACACCAACCAATCCCTGCTGCGGACATGTCCCCACCGGCAACACACACGCTCACAGGGCCGCCTTCGCCAGGATATCAAGTGCTATTTAGTGTTTCATGTAAATAGAGAGGGGGACTTCGCAACCCCAACCCTATCCCCCAATCCAAACCCCTAGTCCTTACGTGCAGATACTCAAGTTTACCCTCGCCAAGGCGCTACTGCTACTACAGGAACGAAGGAGGTGGCGCATGCACAAAAACGAGCATTTACAATAAAAAAACCATTCAGTCGGCGAGTCGAGTCGAGTCGAGTGTCGCACCTTGTCATCTTCCACAACACACGACAGAACCAGCTTCTTCACGCCGAACGCCACGGGCACGAGCTTGTGCGCCTCTCCCCAGACAAGCCCCTCAATTTCAGTCTTCGCGCAGACACACGACGGTAGAGCGTGGAGGCAGCACAAGCAACAGCAGCCCCAGCAGCGCAAGTAGGGGAACACGTTGGATGGACAGTTTTTTTTTTTTTTATAACTTTTTGCACCAAATGCACGACGAGAGACCGCGCGAACTTTGGTAGCCCAGAAGCGTAGCCTGTTGAAGCAAAGTTCCGCAATCGCTTCTTGCGGGAGGCGCTTTCTTGTGCCACGACTGCCTACACAAAAACCCACACCGACGGCAAAAATAATGGAAAAAAACCACGACGACAAACTTACCTTGCAAATCTTGGCGAACAAGCCCTTGAGGTCCGTCTCCGTGTCCCACGGCTTCACCTCAAACACAATTTGCGACCTGAAAGGCGGGGGGGGGGGGGGGCACCGTAGGATTAATACAATGAGAGGGACATATTTACCAAGAACAAGGAGGAAAAGGATAAAGGAAGGAAAGGAAACGGTGAGCGGCGGTGAACACAAACGGCCATTGCATCGTTCTCGAAAAGTTCACCCGTCAACCACTCTGTCGTCTGCGTGCAATCGTTGTATGCACATCCACAGCACCAGCTAGTGCGGCTCCATTGTGTCTTGGCTGACCGCGTCAACTCACAACACGAAAATCATGTGCGTTACCGATGTACGAAACACATCGCTCGCTCGCTCAGGCTGCTAAGCGTTCCATCTGCTGCGCCGAATGCCTCTCGTCTGCTAAGTCATCTCGTCTGCAATGTCATACGACTATAATCATCGTACAAAACTCCTGCAGCACATGGGGTCAAGTTCCGTCCTTTGGATACGCCTGAGCCCAAAAGCAATCAAACATCACCATAAACACTACATCTCGCCAACATCAAAACGAGCTGTAAACAACACCCAAAAAACGAAAGAAAAAATTGCATTGCTCGCTCACTCACCTGTCAATCTTCTTCTTGGCGTCCTTGGCAGCCTTAGCCTCCGCCATCTTCTCAGCGCGGCTCTTCTCCGCGGGCTTGGCCGCCTCCTCCTCCTCATCGTCCCCGAAGAGGTCGTCGTCGTCATCGTCCTCGTCGTCGACCTTAGTGGCCTTCGCCGCGGGTGCCGCCTGTGTACCATGCACCAAAACACAACGATAGTTAGGACAGCAGCTACGGATACAACGTTCGTTCTGCGGATAATGGGAGGAGAAAAACACAAAAAGTAGGGTCTAACCGTGGGCGCCACCCGTAAAAAAAAAATACATGGTATACGATAGGGACAAACACACATTTCTGTTTTTTGTACGAGGGAGGACGCAGAAAGTAGGATTGAACCACCGCGAAACCGCTATACAACAAGGGGCGGCGCACCCGTGAAAGGTAGGCAGTAGGCAGGTAAGGGACGACCTCCCGGAATCACGTTTCAGCGGCCGTCAGTTACGGTGCTGAATCCCGTGAAACGATGCGAGACCTCCTCACTTTGCACTTCGACGTTTTACGGTACCATACCATCTCTTTGTCGGGAGTCATCAGATACCGTCAAGCACAGCGTGAATGAACGGATGGTGTTCGCCCACGAACAACTACTCCCGCAACGATGCGAGGCTATCGGCCGTCGGCACTAGTAATAAAAGCAAGACAAGCACCGAAGAAAGGGGCCAACTGGTTGTCAGCTCTCGGAGAGAGAGGGGTAGATCCTTTACCCCTGATATACATATAGCAGACAGTCATCGCAGATATCTTTTCAAAACAGGAGGCTATGTAAAAAAATCCAATCACCACAAGGTAAAAACAAGAACAAAAAAAAGGTCTCCAAAAACTCTCAGACAGACTTTCTCTCGTGGGTGCTGCTTTGTCGTCGAGAAATAAAAACACTGGACAACTACGATTATGCCTACCACTATAAAAAAAAAACGAACGGACCAGCAGCTCTCTTCCTCTTCACCTACGATATGCATACCACCGACACTACAACGAACGCCACAACAATTCGAATGTCCCTCTCTCTGCTCCTCTTTTCTTCTTGTCTCACCCTCGAGGTGGACGCAGGCGCCGCGGCCGGGGCAGAGCCGCTGCTGGGCGCCAAGCTCAAGCTGCGCCGGGGTAACAACCAACGGCAACAGCCGGACGGATCCCCAGCGTATCGTCATGTTCGTACAAAGGTTCAGGGAAAACAAAAGGTCGCACGTGAGGGTTACAGGGGTGGGTCAGGTCAGGAAAATAATGCGTCGTCGTGTTTTGCCAAAAGCCTCCACTGCTGTGTCCTGTCGAACGCGTGTTTTCTTGGACTAGGTGTCCCGCCCAAGCTACACAATCAGCGGGCAGAGTACCATGGCGTGTCTTCGCGGGAAAAATCAACAAAAAATGTGATACTTATAGCGATAAAATGTTTTCCGTTCCCTGTGTTCGTCGACCTAACCTGACCCCGCCCGAGGACCGAAAAAGACGGCAGCCTCGGCACGGCGATGAAGACACAAAGCGACTTCGCTCTCGCTTCAGGTTTCGTTTTGTGTTGAACCTTACCGGTGTAAATCGTTTTTTCCGCCCAGACCTCCAGTCGGGGCGATGATGGCCTGCCCCATTTCTTGCCCCAACTACGCTGTTGGGTCTATCTGGACTTGTGTTCCAAGAAACAATAATTTCCTTGCGAGTGGCCGGGCGTCCTCTAGGTTACGTATGGTTGGACTAATCTTCGGGCCAAGATTAGTCTCATTGCCATAGGAGAGAAGGGAAGAGGAGGCGGATGGGAACAGCTACAACACCATCTGGGCCTACTGTACCTCTCATTTTGTGGTGGCTTGCGTGGGCCTGCGAAAGACGACAAATCTGCTTCAAAAATCCCACAACAACCAACAACAAAAAGAGGCGATCGCGCAGAGGTACTGTACTGCGGATTCAAAACAGCCTCTCCTCTGATGCAACAGCGACGGCAGCAAAACAACACGGACGGACGTAAGCCTACTACACACCTCCTGACGCCCTTGATGGCGGCGATGTGGATGTACCAGCGGTAGGCGTGGGGCGCCTTGGTCTTGTCCGGGACGCCAGAGCAGGTGGCGAACATGTCCGCATCCGCCTGTATACATTGGGTGCGATGTTTTCATCGTGTATGAGGGGGGGGGGGCGGGGGAGCAGGAGCCGAGGGATATGCATGAAAAACAGGCGTTCAGTCACGCAAGGCTTGGGTTTGTCTGGTGTAAAAACACGCGCGCTGTGTCTGGTAGAAGATCGCGGTATCCCGCCACATTTTAGCTTACCGTCTCCGCCGTGACTGCCCCGCGTCTAGAAGGGGAGAGCTGTAGCCAGAGGTAATGCCTCGAGAAAGAGGTTCATTCAAGCCGCCAAAACCGTTAGCCTTGACGGACAGTTCACTGCAGTCGTAATAGAAGCCGTATCGCATTGCCAACGAAGGGGGATGCTTGGAGGCCTCTGTGAACCTCGTCATTCGTGTGGCCCAAAGTATACAGCTTCAGGCTAGGCTTGTGCACACGGGAACCTGACGCATCACGTCGTCGCCACGAACGGCACGTTCTCAGTCACCATGCCAGACTCACTCCGTGAATACCTACGTGTGGACCAGGGTGGCGAGAACCACCTCCAGCCTGACGTCAAAAGAGTCCTCAAGGATGCATGCACTGCACCCGGACGGGCGGGCGAGATCCTCAAGAACGGCATCACGGATCCCGAGGATCTCGCTTGTGCGGATACTGCTGTAACATGTATCCTTGAGGACTCCTTTGTCGTCGGGCTGGAGATGGTACGATGGTACTCGCCACCCTGGTCCCAAAAGAGCTTTCACGGAGTGAGTCTGGCATAGTGACTGAGAACGTGTCGTCCGGCGACGACGTGATATCTCGGGTTCCCAGTGGTTGTACGATAGGTTGCTTGCTTTCGCGCTTTGCCCAGTGCTTTGTTTTTAACATGGCCTCGCGCGAGGTTCCAGGTACTTCTGTATGAGACCATATGTCAGAATCCGGATAAACTCGAGATGGTTTTTCACGACGGTGTGAGCTTGAGCAAAAGCGGTCGACTCGGAGCCATCCCTTGCTGCCTACACTAAAGGCTGCAGTATGCAACACACGCCAACACCGACCACGCGACCTTGCGGCTGGTGCTCTCCCTCTCTCACAGAGCCACACGATTATGCCCCAGTCCGTCCTCTCGAAACGGACGATTCGACATCAATATTCGCAGAGCATCAATCGGGGCAATGGATGTCGTCGATCGACAGAGCACGGCAAGCTACAGCTATCTCCCCCGCGCCCCGCCGTGCCTCCGTCTCTGGTCGTGTTGCGTGCGTGCAACGGGGCTTGCTGCTGCTGCGGCTGCTGTGCTGCATCGTCCATAAGAATCCCCAGCAAATGTTCCACCAACCTGCGAGTAGGAGTAACCCTCCACGTACGACTTGGCCGAGATGTAGCCGTTGAACGGCATCAGGCCCTTGGGCGTGGAGAGGTCAAACTTGGGAGCCATGGCGAGGGTAGGGAGGGTTGGGTGACACACGTGACGGAGAGGAAAAGAGGTGTGTGTGCCGGCTAGGCCATCTTAGCCCAAGGAGGGGGGGCACGCGAGCTGCATCAATCGTTCATCCAACGGTGCCCCCAAGGTGACGGAACACTCGCAGCTCTGAGCTGCACTGACTGCTTGCGAGCGCCACCCCAGGCTGGGGCCCCAGCTTAGCTGCAACACGAACAAGAAGGGTTTTATTTGAACCACGAGTTTCACGGCGTGAATAGGATATTGGCGATGGGCGAAAATGAAGACGAGGTGAGGCCCGTGACGGTGATGAATGAGTCGAAGAAAATAGTGAATTGCACCGCACCAGTAGCTACGCACCAGTGCGTGTACCAGACACTGGACAGACTCCAGGAGTTATCTTACGTACAAATTTGTTCCCTTGCATGCAAACACCGCGAATCTTGCGAGTGCGACCCTCCCGCGTTCGTTAGTATTTATTTAGCATCATGTGTTGGCTCACGCTGGCTCCTGCCCGTGTCACAGCAGCATTCTACAGCTTGACGTGAACTACTACAACAAGGAATACAGAATGCGGCGTAGATGTGCGTTGGCCCACTCACTGCTGCTGCCGCTGTGTAGAAGTAAGTACAATACTCCTCAGCACCTCTTTAACAGAGTATGGCCCGTACAGCAGTACATCGCCCGAACTCGAGGGCACACCACAGCTGCTTCGAAGATATGCCGTCGTAATTGATGCGGTTCGCTGCTGTGCTACTGATTTTCTCTATGCATACAATAATGACCGCGACGAAAGTGGTGTGGACGAGCTTCGCGACAACCTTCAACTTTTACCTTTTCGTGTTCTTCTGGTGTGAGTTTTGGGTGTTGTATTGGTCGGCACCCATGGTGAGCACTTTTCGTCGAGAACCTGACTTAGGAACCGGCGGGCGAATCGGGCTTCCCTTGCGTTTGCTGTGTTCGATGCGTCCATAGCGGAGACGGGGCCTCTTGAGTGGGTTGGTAACACCAACGGCACCGCCATCGAAGGCTGCATTAGGTTTCAAACGATGGCGAGGGCGAACGACATACCTTTTGTTAAATCCCGAGCGCCCTGTCCATGTCGTCTCCGTCAAGCTGTATCTACGATCGGTTCAAATTTGGGATGCGTTTACGTTTACCGTAAAACTAAATAAATACCTTGCAGCGATCGCAGATAGATAAACTGAATGGGGACAACGCGGAGAGGGTGCTCGGGTTTATCAAAGGTGTGCCGTATGCGTACGCCCTCGTCATTTTCTACTCCCGTTGCAGCCTTTGGTTGATGGCGGTGCCGTTGGCGCATCGAACCCACTCAGAGGCCCCGTCTCCGCTAGCGCGACGAAGAGATGCATCGAACATCGAACACAGCAAATGGGAGGGAACTCGGGTCACAAGTCAGGTTTTCAGCGAAGTGCTCACAATAGGTGCCGACCGATGAACAGCATCCAATAAGATAAAACTCACAAGGCAAGAAAGCGAACGGGCAGTGGCAAAGCCCGTTCACACCATTTTCGTAGCAGTCATGACGAGGGAAACAGAGAGGGAAACAGAAAAAAGGTCCACGCTAAAGTGGCTGTCAAATACAAGGCATAAACACAAACACAAGGGTCATAAGAGAGGGAAACATAAGAGAGAGAGAGAGAGAGAGAGAGAGAGAGAGAGAGAGAGAGAGAGAGAGGAGAGAGTAACAGCAGTGCATGCAAAAAGTGGGTGTCACACACAATTACAAGCACAACGGTCATAGAGAGGGGAACATAGAAAGAGAGAGGAGAGAAGAACGCTGTCACACGCAAGGCATAAAGACAAACACAAAGGTGGGTGAATGAAGCGGAGGAACTGATTGTAACCGTACGCGTAGTACTTACTAACCAAGAAAGACTTGTAGTATTAACTTCAGGAGTTGGACACAACGCCCGTACCAGGGCGTGGCGTCAAGAGGAAGAGCCGGAGCACAGCACATCAAGCAAGAAGGGGCCCCCGTGTATCATCACGGTGACCCTACCCCTCGTAGTCTAATCCATCTGTGTGACACAAAACCGTGGAGCCACGAACAGGCACAGCATGTGCTAGCAGAGTTACAGTAGCACTACCGGACCGTGAAACACTAACACTTGCCGCTGTCTTTGTAGCAAGTGTGAAGATATCTGCTGTACAAACAGCATTCAATAATCTTGTGTTTCACGTGAGACTCTGCTTGTTCGCTTGCTTGTACTTACCAAAGGCGCGTGCTCCCACCGGACTGGAACGGCTGGCCGGGCTACTGGCGGCTACAAAGGAAAACGCCTCTGCGGAAATCTCCAAACTCGACTCTCAGGTATGTCTACCCTCTCGCTTTTTCCATACTGTCGGCTTTTGGTATCACTACCGCCCCCCCAACAAAAATTCTCACCGCGGCCGCGCAGAATGTGCGTCTCCGCCCCGGGGGGGGGGGAGGGCAGTCAGTAGACACTCAGATTCCGACCGGTGGTTGCCCATCCCGTACTAGGTCCGCGAGCAAGCCGATCATGAGTCGGTGATTTGTCGATATCGGTATAAGGTTGGCCGTGATCTTTTTTCTTTTGCGATGTGTGTGAACCTTTGTGGCATCTCTCCGTGTTTGCTCTTGTGTGGTTTTTGTTTCTCTCTTCACCGCTCTCTGGTTGCAGTGGCAGCAGCCGTGTGAGGCCACTGCGTGGCGCATTTTTTTTGTCGACAATGTTGGGGACATATCATGCGGCGTTGTTGCTGACTTTCCTGCGCGTACCCGTTCGTTTTTCCATTCCCTGCTGCGTACATATGTACATAGGTTTGTCAACCCTGGCCCTGTAGAGCCTTTATCCCTGTGCCTGGTTGACGCAAATTGCTTCCTAGCCGTTTTCATGTTCCATCCGTTTTTGCTCTCAAGTTTAACGGGTTTCCCTCCGCACCCCCTCGGCGGTGATTATTTTCAGGTCCAAGCGCTGGAAATCGAGCGGCGGACGCTAGAGGCCGCCCTCGAGACTTGTAGAGACGAGTTCGGAGATGTTAAGACCCTGGTGGAACAGTTCCGGCTCGAGAACCCCCGAAAGGTATATTTGTTGCTTTTTTTTTGAATGTCATACCCGCGGTGTGCTTCCCCCCCCCCCCCCCTCCGCCTTTTTCTGGAGAACGGCTGCTGCTACTGCCGTAGCTGGCTCGTATCCAGCGAAGAAGGTGTGTACGTAGTTGCGGGTTTGGATACAGCAAGAACAGCAGCAGCCGCAGTCACGGCTGCTGCAGTGGTGAGAAGAAAAAAGGTTGTTGTGTATGCCATGCTCTACCCAGAGCTGCCGCGGGTGCTGGTTGTTGCAAGCTTGTGTGTTTTCTTGGCCGACGGTACATCCTTGTTTGCGTCGATTGATGCCCGTCCAC